TTTTTTTTTTCTCATGAGTTTTTCCCCTCACTGTTTTTCCAAAGTTCAGTCTTCAGTAGTCCGGAGAGCGAGGAAACGGCTGGGCTCTTCATATAATATGTGGCGTTGTAATTGGGCCGTGTCAGTAATGATCTGAGTGAGGCCTTTTACTGTAAGCCACTCCTGTCTTAGTCTGGGAGTGGAAACAGAGTTATGTATTGATTCTTGGATAGTAGTCTGTTCAGTGTTACTTAAACATTCATTGATTTACTTTTATCTAACATTGTCCAAAAATGGGACTCATGCAGTTGGATCCTTCTTTATTCACTTCCTTTATGATGATCTGTTTTGTGACATATTGTCTAAGGTAATTGTCATGAATGTCTGTTACTGAAACAGCGTTTTTATGGCTGCATGTATGAGAAGGCGAAATATAACGACTAATGAGGAATATCGATGCTGTACAGCCATTAGTAGCTGCATTGAATCCCTATAAGGCCTGTGCTGTTGTGGGTGACATCACTGTTTTTATTTCCCTTTTTACCCTGGTGTGTCTGCATAGCTCTACAATAATGAGCTACATTCAAGCTAATGCATACTAAAGACCAGGTACTTGTTACTGAACTGCAGAAAAGAGAAGCAGAAGGCTTGTTTCTGTAGATTGATTATAAACTATCAAAATAAGAAAACAGTGCACGCCTACAATGGAAAAATGCCATCTATTGCAGGAGCATTGCGGGGAAGCCATATACACTTACAGTGTATTGAAGTATGTTTATGGAGCCATTGTTCTTGTGCTAATAATTACTCTGCATTTACACTGCACTGCTAAACAGACTTACCATAGTGGTTTCACATAGTTGTGGCTATATCATAGATTTAACTGTATTATAGCTTGAGCTTTAAGACAAGCAGGAGCCAGTAGTAAACGGTTGGTTACAGGGCAGAGTCCATGCATCTAAATGCATGAAAATGTTAGAATCCTATCAATAAAGGCAAAAAGTTGCACATTAAAATATTCCAATGTCCCTTAACCAAAATAATAATAATCGAGCATACATTATAGATGAAGACCCTTTTAATTTTTGACATTGTCTGCTTTTTGCTTATAGGTTTTACTTTTTTAAATTTCTCAAATTTATGTCAATGTTTCTCTCACCTGTTCCAGAATCTCCTCAGTTGTCCTCACCCCTCTCCAACAGTGACCATGTCCAGGGAGGCCTCGATTTGGGTCCATATTGCAACCAGGTATGCATGGAGCCACTGGATGGAGAGGGTGAACGTCCAGTGAGCCTGGTGTCCTCCCTGTCCTCTGGTTCATCCCGTGATAGTCACAGTCTTTTCGGGAGCACAGCAGTCCTTCCTTCCTCCACCACACCGCCTATTCCAAGTGAAGAGGACATAGATTTGGAGCTGAGCCCAGCTGAAGGCACCAGAGAGCAGGCTGGGAACCAGAGTCCCACCCTTTCAGGTTCTAGACATCGCTGGCAGGAACAGCTGGAGGCCAGGTTGATCACCAGCCAGTGGAATAACAACAACGGCACGGCCAACAGGAAAGCGACTGGTGAAATACTTCACATCCCCTGTTCGCCTGTCGTCGCGGATGCCATGGCGCCCAACCCAAAGCTGACCTATGTGGACCGGGTTGTCATGGAGATCATGGAGACGGAGCGCATGTACGTCAAGGATCTGCGCAGCATCGTAGAGGTGAGTGGATGTCAGGGTTTTTCCCCTTAAGCCAAGTATTCAGATTGAGCCAACGATTTTAAATTATAGCCACTAAATCATCTGAGCTTAAAGCTCATATTTGATTTGGATTAACAAGCAGCTATGACCTCATGTCTGCATCACCTTTTAGTGGCGATTTGATGAATTTGAGCAGCCAGGAACCAAAACACGGACAACTGAGTCAGTGGCTGTTGAAAGCAAATAATGCCTACTGTGTTCCCTACAAATAGGTCTGGTACTTGAACAGGATCCATTCTGATTTTCCTCTTTTCCAAACAAATCAGCCAGTTGACAAAAAATGTGCCAGACATCTGGCGGCTGAAGGCTTTGTTTAGAGATTTCTAGTTCATAGAAAGGAGGACCGTTAAACAGTTTATGGTGGAGTTTTAGTGTTTTGTATAAACTATTCTGTATATTTACAGTGCAGTGAAGGCTTACAGCCTACAGCCTGGGATTATGTAGTATGCTCATATGTGGAGTCAGAGTGGGAAACAGTGCAGGTCTTTCATGGCAGCAGGAATCTTGGGCTCTGTGATCTTGGTTAAAGATAGTGGAAACCTCATCTCAAAGATGTGAAGCGTGGAAAATGAGCCAGGGATGATTTTACCACTCAGCAGGCCACTTACGTCTTATCACTCTTTCTACCTTTGTAGTCTGGAAACAGCTTCCAGACAGAAATCTCCCCAGTTCTCAGTTTGTCCTGGGTGGGGAAAAACACAAAAAACAGGAGCAGTGTGTTACCGTGTCACTGCACGGACTGTAATGCCTTTAACAGGTGAGCCATTTCTGACACTGAATGGCAGTAAAACAGTTAGCGCCTCCTCACTTTGCGCCAGACTGTGTCTGGCGTCTTGCATTTACTGTGGGAGGGAGTGCTGCCCCTGCTGTAGCTTAAATAATGACGTGCTCTCGACAAACACTTCCAGGACCTTAAACTCTTTCAGCTGACAGGAGCAGAGTCAGTGAGACAGACTCTGCTGCAAGATCTAGCCTAGTCTGAAGTGTCAGGCCTCCCCAGCCAACACAAATATCTCTATCTTTGCACCAACAGAAGAAATAACACACATGTGAAAAGAGATGTCGGGCTATAGCGTGGGAAAATAGTCATTCCATGATTACAGTATTGCTTCACTTACTTTTTTTTTTATCCTATTCTTACTCAAAGCCTTGGATTCGACGGGCCCATAACACTTCTTTTGGCATTGTTTCATTTCATGCTAAATCAAAGCTCTTGCCTCATACTGACACGCAGCTGTTACACATGGACATCCTTGCTTTTTATCTTGCCATTTATCTCTCTGACTCTTAAAGCCATCACTCTGTCCTTTCATGAGATCATTTTTAGAACAGCTGTTTGACCCCGGCTGGTTTCGCTTAGCCAGATATATTCCCAACACTTGTCCAGAACACACCCAGAAAGATCTTTCAGCATTTTATTCGTAAATGTGAAAATTAGCGATTCAAACAATGAGTGTTGCAATTAAATGTAGGCGTCCCTGTTCTATTAGCGAGAAAAAGCAGCTTCTAGCACTATAAGCTACAGATGGCATTCACTAAATTAAATCTCACAGCACTCTGTCGGCTCGGAGTGAGCATTGCTATTGCAGCACTGGAATTCTCCATCAGTGGTGTGCAGCAGTTCATTCAGTAGTGTGATGTGATGACTGTTCTCCTAATCTGTGCTGTCCAGCAAGCCTGCTAAGTATGTCTGTATTTACACCACATCATCAGCGAGGCTTTGCCGTGTGCGCACAAGCTGTTTACTGGTATGCTCCGTATTTAGTAAATGCTTATGTCTGTGTTTGACTATCGTTAATTCTCCCCTTCGCCTGTTTTGAGTTGTTTTCTTTCCACACGAGTGTGTAATTGACAGAAAAAAGGGTAATCAGCCAGATGTTGGCATGTTTGGCTTTAGTACTTTTTGATATTTTTAACTAGTTTGAATACTTTTTATGTCCAGAGGGAACAGGCTGTACTGATGTTTCTAGAATGGGTACTGCAGAGCTTCTTTCAGAGTCACGTTGCTCCCTGGTCCACAGAACAAGTCCTTAAAAGGATCCTTGAACTGTCTCATAACTGATTTATGAAATAATAATCCTGCTTCTGTAGCTCAGGAAGATCTGATACCCCACTTGTCTTTTTACACACATTAGAAGAAATGTTATAGCCCTAAAACTGCAGCAATCAGCTGCACTAAACAAATGTCATCATCACTCAGTGCAGAGGATGTAAGAAGGCAATGAGAGGAAAATGTATATGCATGTTCCCTCTGCTGGCAGGAATTTGGAAGTGCATGTCTCTTTCTTAACCATAAACATGTAACCACATTTTAAGGAGTTTTCAGATATAACTTCCCCTCTTTACTGTTTTTTCAGGATTACTTGGCTCACATTATCGATATAGGCAACCTTCCCATACGGCCAGAACAAGTGTGTGCTCTTTTTGGAAACATAGAGGACATCTACGAGTTCAACAGGTACATATAACAAGTCTGTTTTGGGTATTTTTATGCAGTCATTTTGTGCAAGGAATGTTTTGTACACTTTCATTATGCTATTGGATAATGGAGCATTTCATGAAAGTTAAAAATGGCTGACCCTTGATGAATTTTTCTTCACATGCTGCTTATATTTTATTGAGTCATTCAAACCGGATGCAGGGAAAACAAAGGAACAGCTCGCACAGCAGTAAAGACCCGACTGCAAATATCCGAAAGCGGCGGAAATAGAGGTGCAGCTGGCTTTACATTTGGACATCTTATGTCAGCAAGTGTTCGCTGCTGACCGCGCCAAAACACACATTAACATTCCTCTCTCCTCTCACAGCGAGGAGCCTCCCTGGTAATGCCAAAGCTATTATAAAGAAGGCTGCAGTAGTTATTACATCTTAATCAGTCTAATTTTACAGATTTGTAATTGATGTTGTGCCATTGTATCGAGGCCTGACTTGCACTGCATTGTGAGGGCTTTGCTTTCGCAATATATAAACAGTGATATTAACTTTAATCATATAAATCCTTATATCAGCTTTAGCACTAGTGCCATATGTTTATGTGCAAAAGGGGGAAACCAGCTTTTATTTTTCTGGATGAACGATATACAGAAATTCTGCTTACTTTGGATGCTGTACTGCACATACTGTAAAAAAGAAACCCGACTCTAACGGTTATTTACTTTGCTGTAGTCCAGTCTCTTGCTTAGCTTTACAATATTCTGAAAGTCATAAACTCTTATTTGACATTGGGAGTTTCTGATAAACAGTCTTTATTTCATCCAAGAATCTGTACTTCTTTGAGGCACTTAACATTCTGTAAGCAGTAAATATTGTTAACCAAGCAATCATGTGGTATGAACAAATATTGACACTGTGCACATAATAAATCGTAACACTTTTCTCATTGAACCAAGAACACGCTGCCACGTTCCTTTGAAGTCAGTTTCAGTCAAAGATTTGCGGCACTTGAAAATGCGCTGTGCTGCGTGCATTAAAAATACTTCATGCTTGACTTGTGATGATTAGTGATGACTTTTTTTCCCAACAGTTTTCCATTGTAATTGATCATTGAAGTACATTTTCAGCACTAGAGAAATGAGTCATACTGCAGTAAAGCGCCTGTATTTCTTTATTTTATTTCATGTTTTTACTGAGTTGGTGTTACAGCTTGTAAAAGTTACAACTACAACTCAGGGTTTGTTTTGTGACCTGAATAAAACACATTTTTGTTTGGACTGGTGTTATGTTCTCAATCCAGATATGTATACACTCACCTGTTTAGCAGTGTATGGCTCCCTCTACTGGTATTTTTTCCCCTCTAAGAAAGATCAAAAACTCCTTGAGGTTCATGTCATTGTGTATTAAGTTCTTGCTGGTTACCTATTCCTTAATAGTTGTTAATTAATACGGTTTCAGTGTTCCCGATTGACACTCATCTATCACATATTGTTGCTTCCTGCATTTCAGTGAGTTGCTGGAGTCTTTGGACATGTGTGAAAATGATCCCGTGGCTATCGCTCAGTGTTTTGTAAATAAGGTAAGCACAACAATCTTGCACTAATTCAAGCGATATCAGCTCCCCAAGTACATAAGTAATATTTACGACTGGTCTGTGTTTCACCAGAGCGAATACTTTGAAATCTACACCCAGTATTGCACCAACTATCCCAAGTGAGTAACTAAGACGAGATGTTCTTCTCATATATTTAATTTTTTTTATTTTTGGTGTGGAATGCTTTAAGGGAATCTATCATTTGAACTAAAAGGTCAAGTAAATAAGTATCTGTTGCCTCATGAAGCGTGGTGTTTGCTATCATGTAACCACATGAATCTGTGGATGTTTAAACTGCAGCTTGGCTTGTTGGCAAAAACGCCCACAAAGCAGTAATTCTAGTTTTTGATATAACAAGCTTTAATGGTATTGATGGATGTCGCTCTTTGCCGTCCAACAGCTCAGTGGCAGCACTGACCGACTGCATGAGGAGTAAAACTTTGGCCAAGTTTTTCAGGGATCGACAGGCCGCTCTGAAGCGCTCCCTTCCTTTGGGCTCTTACCTCCTAAAGCCAGTTCAGAGGATACTGAAATATCACCTGCTGCTTCAGGTACAGAATCTCCTCAAGCGTCATTTTGGTTGACTAAAATGTTTCTTCAGTAAATTGTCTGATTTATGATTAAATAATTAAAAAAACAAAAACAAAACTGTAAACAAATGTTTCTTGACCTCTTTCTTCAATTTTATATTACTTATTAATCTAGGTCCAAAAAATGTTTAGGTATGAATGTACTGTAACTTGACCAAACCTCAACAGAAATTTATTTCTTTTTAATCTTTATTTTTGATCACTGCTAAAGGAAATTGCAAAGCACTTTGACCCAGACGAGGAGGGCTACGAGGTCATTCAGGAGGCCATAGACACCATGACAGGGGTTGCTTGGTACATCAACGATATGAAGAGGAAGCACGAACACGCTGTCAGAGTGCAGGTCAGATGAGATTCCTTTAAAATACTTGTGAAGAGTTTGATTTATGTCATTGCCATGTGGAATAAACGGTACAGGTTCAGTGAAGGTGCTTTTAAAATGTAATGATTCTGTAACTCTTCTTATTCGTTTATCAATTCATTTCATATATTTGCTTTTCTCAACAAGGCTGCCTCCTGTGACTTCCATCTCTTGCATGAGCGATTTTTAGAGCGCCAGTGTTCAAAATATCTCCCACGGCACATCCTTCTGATTTCAACTTGAATACTTTTCTCATGTTGTTTTTAATTTAAAGTGACAATAGCTTCTAATGATTTCCTTGGTTTAAGGTATGAGAAATAATGGATCCTTTGGACACAGAATCCTAGTTCATATTCACTGTACCTATCCTGGCCGTGGCTTTCTGAGAAGATTGTTTTAATTTATTACAAGACATCAAGGTTGCCTCCACCTTAATTAGATTAGAAAATGCATGGCTATTTTTCTCGCCACAGGGATTTTCAAAAATGCCTTCTACTGTGAGAACAGTTCAGTAAGATAAGAGGAGTACTAAGTCTGTAAGAGGAACTTTGACAGTTCACTGTCATCTTGCTTTTTGTTTTAAATCTGTTCGCAGACAGTCCACCAAGAGGCATTTGAATAATCAGGTGCAGCTCAGTGCTTGCACAGTTTTAGGAGGCTAACTCAGAAGACCACCTATCAGTCATTTAGATGGAGATGAAACTGTATTAATCTCTCTGGGAAATTCAGTATTGCAAAAATGTCCCAGTGGACACACATCACCTGTAGTCAGTTCACTCTGTGTTTCCATTGTACAGGTGTTGTATGAGGACTAAAAATAACAGCCAGCTCCATACATACATATATATACACTTAAAGGGTGTGTACTAACATGTTGATCTTCAGGAGATCCAGTCTCTTCTGATCAACTGGAAGGGGCCTGACCTGACCACCTACGGAGAGCTTGTGCTAGAGGGCACCTTTCATGTGCTAAGGGCGAAGAACACCCGCACTCTCTTCCTCTTTGAAAAGATGCTCCTTATTACCAAAAAAAGAGGAGAACACTACGTCTACAAGATCCATATCTTGGTACGTTTTTGTTATATTATTTGAACAAAGTTAAACACTTTGAAAATGAAATGGGGGGGAAAGGTGAGTTTTGTCTGGTGGAGTTGAAAATAACCAATTTATCTGCTGCAATATTTAATATGAGCACTCCTGTTTGTAACAAAATATATATGCCTGGAAATGAGCATAACTCATGTCCACTTTAATTAGATTTTTTTTAATTAGAAAGCAAATTAAGAGATAATGAAGTACACTTGGTGTAGCCCTTCTCTTCATTACTGCATTCTGTGGTTCCAGTGCTCCACCCTAATGCTACTTGACAGTGCCAAGGATCCCCTGCTCTTCAGTGTTATCCACTTCAAGCGTCCCAAGCAGCCTCACACAGTGCAGGTAAATGAAAATAGAATCATTATATAGATGGAGAGAAAGAGATGCATGGATGGATTGTATCTGGTGCATCTTTATTAATGTAAATGACTAAAGCAAGTGCTTGTTGATCCAGGCCAAGACTGTAGAAGAGAAGCGTCTCTGGGCCCATCACATCAAGAGGCTCATACTTGAAAATCACAGCACCATCGTTCCACAAAGGGTAAACAACATCATCCCTCACACTGATTTTTATTTTTCCTTATGAAGAGGCAGCTTTTCCTGAAACATGCTGCCTTCTTTTTATAGGCAAAAGAAGCCATTCTGGATAATTCAAACTGTAAGTGTTACAATTAAAGTAACCAATATGGACAGGGTGTGTTTTCAGTAGTTTAATATACAAAAAAGACATCTGTGTGGAGAAGATTGTTGTAGTAATCGGAGTATAATAGCATATCCTTCTGCTGCTCAGATCTGGGGAAGTACCAGTATAGCCCTGAGAAGCTGAAGAAGGTGGAGTCCTGCCAGCCTGATGACTTCCATCTCGAAGGAAGAAATGGGAGAAGGAGATCAGGTATACGAACCGATTTTAAATCTGAATACAAACCCTTTGGTCTTTGTGTAGTTTTTGTGATCATTAAACCACCAGTTAGACTCTTAGTAAGCTCTCCCATTTTTAATCCTCTTTTTAGAGCCAGCCAAACAAATCAGAAGAAGCACAAAAGGTTGGTGTGTGTGTGTGTGTGTGTGTGTGTGTGTGTGTTAAATTGCTGGATGCTGAGTAAGGTTTAGGTGCAAAAGGTGCAGATTCATTACCAGTGTTAAGAGTTTCATCCATATTCTGCCTCTTCATTGGTCCAGCAGCCCCACGGCCCCCTACCATGATTATTTTGTGTCTCCATTGCACTTCTGCTTTGTTCTCTTTCAAAGACACCTGGAAAACACATCAAAGACGCACATTCACTCCCACCCCCACTCCACCTCACTATAATCCATTTAATTATATGCCACATTGGTCAGAGGCTTTGTTATACACAGACTCTTTTCAGTAGTCAGATTCGGCCCAGCCCTTAGATCTGTGCATCTTCACAGATTCTGACTGACCATTTCCAAAGAGAAATTCTCCCTATTCTTGTTCTCCTTTGCTCCCAGACCTGATCTGTTTTTGAACCAGTGTAATGAAAAAGCAATTTTCATGTCAACCTTCTCATCAGGGTGAGGGAGGAGGTCATCACGTACTGGTTAATTGCATCATGTCCGGCTTTACACTCTGAGAACAAGATGCTGCTTATCAGTATTTATCTAATCACAGGGCCTCCCTTAAGTCCGGGCCAGTCTAACAGCTACCTCACTCAGTTCCCATTTGTGAAGACAGAAATTGTCCTGATTATACAAGATGTACGTGGTATTCAGGTCATTTTGGCTCATAATGTTGGACTGGCATATACTTTTTTTTTCATTGTCGTTAACATTCTCATTTGTTCATCTCTCGGCTCCTCTGTGGTTTTGTTCTCCACGCAGCTGTTTTGAAGGTGAGTGTCTGAAATCCAAATGCAGTCATTTAATAAGTCTTTTCTGTCTGTTGTAGCAAAGTGGTTTATTTAGGTCACTGGGCTGTGGTGAGATGTGGTTTAATCTGTTTTTGAGTCAGCAGTTCAAACTTTGTTCTAACTGAAAAAGAAAATCAAATAAAAATGAGATTTCTAATCTTCACAAAACGTACTTAACCTAGATTTGAAAAACATAAATAAATCACATCTCACCTAAAGCTAAAGCTGCTTTATGGTAATTTCATCCCATTTACAGCTTTGCAATCACAGCATTGCTCTAGCACTGGCCTTGCAATAACAAACCACATGTCCATGCCTTCACGCTACAGCACGCAGACAGTGAGGGGGCACTGCTGGGGGCTAGATGCTCCCTTCAGCCGGCCACTAGTGTCAGTACGCTGACCTCCAGTCTAGGGGAACCCCAGGCTGAGAGCCCGTGTGTGGAGGATCTAATGCTGAGAAGAGACTCTCTGGAGGAGCTAAGTCCTACTGACAGGGACCCGAAACAGGGCTATTTACCCAGTGAGGGGGGGCTGGAGCCAGAGAAGGCTGTGGAGGAGCAGGATGTGGAAGATGGGGAGAGCTACAAGGAAGATATACTGATGGGAGACGACCAGGTAGCCGACTTTGCCAGCTCAGTGCTCGCAGCCATCTCCTGCTGGCACTATAGAGCCAGGTCTTTGCTTTCTACTCACTTCACAACGGTGAGGGTTTCAGCCACCCACGGGTTTCCCATTTCCTGCTCCATTCCACCAGCTTACCAATATTCACTGCCACTCATTCTCCCACGCTGGCTCTCATCCCTATCACTTTTTTTCCCTTCCTTCATAAATGGAACTAACACCTGCTACCAATTGCACTGTCCACACTGAATGCATTGGGTTAAATTTTTGCTATCAAAGAACATCAACTGAAATCCTGTCAGTCGGACCATAAAGAACAATTTGAGGACTTGGGTGAAACTTAAGTCATACCTTGTGCATGTCTTTGCCTGTGTGTGTTTAGTTTTTTTGCTTTAGACTTTTGTGTCCTCTCACTGTGCATGCACTCCTGTTTCATCATTTCCTCCTCTTGCTACAAGGTGCTGGATTTCATGATGAATGTTAAAGCGAATGATGTTGAGATCATGCTTACATTTGCATTTGAACCACTGAGTCAGTGTGCTCTGTTTAAATGTTGTTTGACTTCAAAGGTTAATGTAGCCATCTGATTAAACGAACATTATACGAGCAAGCGCTTTGCCCTTTGATAATCATATTTTCTAATCATATTTCCCCTTTGAACTTTCATAATTAGAAAACCTTTGTTAAAGTTAATTGTTGTAGCAACATTGTTCCCAAATGTGACAGTGCACATCATTTCAATAGGAATAAGGGCTTCATTCATTTCATTTTTAAAAAAAGCAAAAGACAAGATTGATTCCATGTTTTGCCTTTTCAGGATGATCAGAACGAAGATATTGCTGAGCTGAAAACTCTGACAAGAGAGGAGGTGGAAAAACATGAGGCTGATGCTCTGAAAGAAACTTGCAGCTTGCAGGTAATTGATAAAGCCCAGTATACGGTTTATACACATCTATTAAACCCGATTTCCATACATGTCTCTGAGGCCACACGTAATGTGTATTAGGTCTATTAAAAAGTATCCATCTGTCCTCATTTTGATAAGCTTATTTTAGCCATTGTATATTTTGAATGAGGCTCTCAGTCTATTATCTGTTATTGTTATATCTCTGTGAATGAGAGCGAGCGTATTTAATAATACATTACACAAATAACCTGGTTTCCTATTTAATAGCTGCCCTCTGCCGTCAACATAGTCTCTATGCTACATGTAAATTATGCCTGGAGTCATATTAATGCCATATGTAGCCCCGCTAGTTAAAATTCCTCACACGTACTGTTGTGCTATGGTAGGCACTCTCACTGAGAAAGGCAACATTGGATTTAGATGCCGGTTACAGTTCAAGCCTGATTCTCATAATTGGTAACTTTGCGGGGGGGGAAGGTTTCTTCAGCCAAGCAGAGTGCAGGTTATTATTCTTCCTAACCTTATCTGCACCACACAGCTCCAAGCTGCACCTCTTGCAATTGCAGACACTCCAAAAGAGCAGGCAGCACCTGGAAATAAATTCAGATTAATGCCAGGCTGGGGTGACATCAGCAATATGAACACTAGTACAGCCGCAAACAATGTAATGGTGAACTCGCCAGGATCCAGTAAAGAGTCATTACAGACAGCTGCAAATGGCCTTTGCAGTTTTTAACTACACTTGGATTTTTGTACAGACATGGATCCCTGTGATACATCTCAGCTGAGCCTAATGAGGTCATTTACAGTGCAGTGCAAAAGTCTTGAGTCGCCCTGATTTATATTTTGCTTCCAAGGAGGCAGACATTCTTCTAATTGTTTTAAAGGCTTTCTGAAGTCTTTCTTTGGACATTGGCTGCTTTTTCATTTATTTTCAGTCGATTCTTTGTACATGACCATTTTCAAAGGAGTCTATTGGATTTTTTTTCTCCGTTCTTTAACCACTTAAAACTGGAAAAATGATAAGAAAGATGTGACATTTTTGCCATATACTATATTTCCACGTATATTTGCACGTTTCAATAAACTGCTGCACCCGTTTTCCATTTTCCTAGCAAAATATAAAGAGACCTTTTGCACAGCGCTGTACATGCATCATAAGTTGTTTATGCATTCAACTATTAAGATTACTGTAAATAGCACCATTAAGCTTAGATTGTTTGTTATTAGAAAGTGTCATTTTACTGTAAAACAAAACTTGTGTCATGTTTCAGGTCAGTATGCAGGAGCCGTGCAATCTAGACTGTCTTCCTCAAGTAAATGAGAGCAATCAGCTGGAAGAGGATCGCTTCCAGTGCCCTGAGCCTCCTGTGACCCCCTCAGAACAAGAAACGGAGACCTCAGGACCTCAGGATAGCTCAAGGGAAACTGGAGAGGAAGAAGAAGGAGAGAGTGATTCCTCTGGTCTTCAAGTGGAGGAGGCGAGTGTACTGACCAATGGAGAGCTCTCAGAAGAGGAAGAGGAGGAAATTTCGGGTAACGAAAGCATCCTACCTTCCTCTGTGCTAGACCAGGCGAGTGTGATAGCTGGACACTTCAGGGGCAGCCTATCTAGACGGAGCAGTGTAATGTCAGAGGACATGGGTTCACTTGTCTGCCCCTCAGAGTCCGTGGATGATGATGCCGTCCACAGCCCTTCAGCTTGCATGGATTTTGAGAAACAGACCCAAATGCTGCTCAGCTCCTCAGCAGAGCTGAAAACTAGCTCAGAGGCTAATCGGTCAGTTCCTGTGCGTGAACTTGGGCTGAATGAAGGGGAACGCAGGTCTACGCTCTCCAAACAAGATCGCCTCCTCATCCACAAAATTCGACAGTACTACGAGCACGCTGAGCACCAAGATGCTAACTTCAGCATCAGGCGCAGGGAGAGTCTGTCTTATATTCCAGCAGGTCTGGTCAGGAACTTGAGCCAACAGCTTAATGATAATCCTGCTCCTCAGGAGAGGGCCGTCCCAGCTCTTAGGAAAGGTCTCTCTCAGAACAGGCCTACATCTTGGTCTGTGTTTGACCTTCCTGGATTACAAACAAGTCAAAACACTGGAAATTATCTACCACAGAGATCAGTCAAGGCCCAGGCTAGTTGTAACAGCATTTCAGACAATTCAGGCACAGAAGAGGAATTCAGGCCTTCATCAGAAATGCTCAAGGTTTGGCAAGACATGGAAAATGAGGGACAGAGCCAGGAAGCCCAGCAGGATGCACAGGAGAAAGTTAGTGAGTCATTATTAGAAGTGGCACACCACAGCTCTGATACTTCAGATGCTAAAACCGATAAGCAACCACCTCAGGTTCTAGACGAGTCTGAAATGAGCACCGCTTCCAATACCCTCTCCACGTTGTCACCTATCCCAACTTGCCAAGCAGTGGAAGGAGGATCTGGTCAGGGCTCCGAGACCCCGGTGTTTCAAGAGATCGGTAAAGACAACCAAGGTCAACTACCTAAGATCATTAGCTTCCGAACAAGCATGGATGACGACCAGATCCTTCAAGACATGGGAAAGATGAAGAACAAGGTGTTCCAGTTGGCTCGTCAGTACAGCCAGCGCATTAAAAATAACAAACCCGTTGTCTGGCAGAGGAGCCGAGAAACTGCAAACCAGGAAGCCTTCAGGGACATGCCTGCTGTCCACGAGGAGAAGCTGCAGCTTAGAAAAAGGGGTAAATGGGATGCAAATCATTGCTCTTTTTCTTTTAAAGTACCCTAGCACTTTGACTTGTGTGCAAAGAGACCTGAAAGGCATTCTTTGTCTGTTTTCTGTGTGTATGCAGGTAAACCAAGCCTAAGATTGCCCACGAATGCTTGCAGTCAAGCAGTTATCCCTGAACTCCATTCTCCAAGTCCAGTCCTGACTCCCAGCTCTGGAGCCAGCTCCCAGAGCACAATTACCTGCCCGCAGAGCCCGGAGATGGAGACCTTCCATTGGCCTGATGTTCAGGAGCTGCGCTCCAAATACTCGGATGCATCCCACTCCTCAAAAATAACCCATAGCTGCACAGTCCTGAGTGGGATGGACAGGTGTAATGGCTGTGAACATAAATACAGTAGCTCCTCAGATCTTCGTAGGTCTGTGACAGACCCTGACACACTTCGAAAGCAATCTGAAACCACACGCAGTGACGGCTCCGTAGTAGAAGACTGGCCCCCACACCAGAAACGCTCTCGACTCTATCCCCTGCTGTGCAGGTGGAAATCTTTGGACCATATGCCTGTGTCTTTACCCCTTCATGAAGTACAGAACCTTCAGGAACCTGCCAGGACCTGCCTTAAGGTCAGCCAAGCACAAGAAGGAGATAACCTCTGTCCAGAGGGCGTAGACAGTGCAGCAAAGTCTGATCTCCTGAGTTCAGGGAAGACCTCAGAGAGCAAACTTGTGAGAAGCTTACGAGAGAAATTCCAGAACTTAAGCACAAGTTCATGAACATGTGATTTATGTACCGTATATTTTTATTAGAATTTTGAAACATTATCTTGGCAAATATCTCATACTTGTCCCAACACCCATATTTCATGTTAATTCTCTTAAAAGAATGCAACTTTGTGACTGTGCAGTGTTTTTACTATCGGAGACACCCTGACATGATCGCAGCACGGTGTGACACCAGAGACATATTAATGGCTATTGTCTTCTTATAAAATATGAATTACAATATTTACACACTGGGTAAATGTCTGCACAAAGTCTATGTAGAAATGTGTATAAAATCTCCTGTATGAAATGGGAAAACTGGTTGTACTTTATTATATCCATGTTTTTGGTTCCCAATGTTAGTGATTCTCGCTACAGTCAGTATAGCAATATTTCTGTGTAACTGTCAGGGAAGCTCTGACTGATGTCAGCTCTGCTATTAGCACAGCCTGTGTCCAAATACCAAAGATTGCTGCCATTTTTTGTTACTTTTGTTTTTAGCAACTGATCCTAGCAGTCGTTTGCTTTGTCATTTACTGTAGCTGCTTCTAAAACGTGTGAAACATCACTGGAGCTTTAGCGTTCTCAGCAAGTTGTATATTTTCTTAAACATTATTTATAAAACTGTATATTTGGGAAATTTTGGCCTCTTGTAAATACTAATAATGCACTGTTTCATACTCTGTTTCCCATATTTTGAATAAAAACAGAAATGTCTTTGTCAGTTATTGGTAAATGTGCGTTACTGCAGATCCATTCATACCGTGGCTGACGTGGCTTCAAAGACAGCCTTCTATTTACATCAAATAAAATTCATTTAAAGGAGAGTTGAGAGGATTTAGTGTTGTGGTGTAAGGAAATGCTCTATTTCAAAAACAAAGAGCAACAGTTCTAAGCAAAAGATGATACCAATGCCATAAAGGAGGAGCTCTATGACAAAGTTTTGTCCTCGATATATGAGAACTGATTTTAAATATCTCTAAAAAAATTATCATCATCAAATGGGAGGCCCACTCCTGTAAGGAGAGTATGCAAAGGGCCTCAGTTAGAAAAACAAATGGCTCATTTCCTGTTACTTTTCCATGTAGAGCACTGAGCTCGGTGTGACACCCAAACAACGAGGCAGTAATAGTTACTGTAACTATGTTTTAGAATAACATCCGGGTGGAGCTGCCAGTAGCAACTATAATTGTTAATGTGGTCTCATGAGTCTGTTCATTTGTGTTGGCTAATTTCTTATTATTTTTAAATGACCGCAAAGGTCATCCCGAGCGCCGCCTCGTTTAAAAAAAAAAAAAGTTCCATCAAGTCGGACATGAACGCATCGAGTTACGCCGGAAATACACAAGAGAAACCCTCTCCATAAAGCCACCAAACCTTTGTCATATTTGCGCATCACCGAGGGTTTATTTATTTATTTATTTATTTTGAGCCAACCACAGCTCGCATCCTGGTCACTGACTTGACGCGGAGGAGCGGAGCTCCAGACGCGCACTGAAACCAGATGTCACCACCAGCACATTTCCTCTGGCACCGAAGTATCTAACTGTCGTTTTTCCTTTTTTTAAAAAAAAATCTTCCTGGATTGGCATTGCCCCAAAATAGAATAAATAAAAAAAATCTTCTTTCCGTCTTTCATGTGAAGAATGGGCTGCGCAATATCAGGTCTCGCAGCAAAATCCGAGTTTGCAGAGAAGACTTCAGAGGATGCTGCTGCTGCCGCGTATCCCAGCGAGGACCAGATTCAGATGATTAAAGACTCGTGGAAAGTTATCCGGGACGATATAGCCAAAGTTGGGATTATTATGTTCGTCAGGTAGGACTTTTCTGATGTTTGGCGAATTTCAGGCAATTCAGAATCGAATAAAATACTAATTTAGTGAAGCGGTATGTAAGGATGGGGGGTGGTGTTATAATAAATTCTTTAGTTTTATGAAGTCACACTGAGTCCTTTAAGATATTGTATTGTACTGTATTAATGGGTTGCATCACTTTGTAGTTGCTTGTTACGCAGAAGAAGGAAAAAAAAGAAGTAAAAATGTCTATTAATTTCAGTCTGATCATCCAATCAGAGCTTAATGAAACGCTGTGACCTGCAGAGGAAGGGCTCTGTAAAGTATCTTGGTGAGCTACTGTGATGATGACATGCCTGAATTCTATCTCCATCAGTCCCTCCCCCGTCTCCGTGTCCCCCGGAAGCTTGGAACAGATCCCCCCCACCCACACACACACACACACACACACACACACACACACCCGCGCACCTCCCTTCATATCACTCCAAATCACATCCTAATGTCATCACGTGATAGTAACAATAACATTATCAGAACTCCGGGTCTCCCATAGTACTATACAATTAAAGGCATTAGCCATCAGGCAAATTCATTTTAGCAATTAGGATGATAACTAGCTTCCGGGAAAACATCTTTAGCCCTTTGGCACTTGGCAGGGAAATGAGACAAATGAGAGGATATGGTGATGTAGACTGTCAGTCTTTAGAGTGAAGAGAGACTATTTGTGGCCAGAAGCCCAATGAAAGATGCCTGGAGTGAGTTAAAGGGATTGACCTTAAGTGTTGGCCTGAAAATACATGGGCCTCTCGTGGGCCAGGGACACCCCAGGGTACAAATGTCACCATGGCCTGCAACTCCTGATTGAACAGCAATGGTTACAATGAAACAACAAATGGGAATTGCCTGTTTGTCACTGGTGTTTTCACTTTACTCCTCAGCAAGTGAATTTTTATCTGTGAAATTTACCCAAAGTAAGGTGCATCAAAGGTGGAGTAGCATATCTGTGAACAACACAGAAATGAATGCAACGTCTGTGCAATGCCAATTAAAATTCCACTTGAGCCATTCAGAGTGCTACGTTGTCTGCATATGTTATGCATGCTTGCATGCACACTCCATGTCCACAAGAGATTAACAATGGAAGAAAATAACAAGCTGTCTATGTGTCGCCGGTGTGCTGACAGTCGTGAAATAAGAGCTTCAATTTCATCAGTGAAGCTGGCGAGCATCTCGGTATGTGTAGCGAGAAGGAAAGTGTCCCAGCTCTCTCGTCGCGGATGAACTTTGCTACTGAAAAAAACAACAACACAAAAACAGTAACACTGTGCAAATATCACAGCATTGTTTCTTCAACTTTGTGCAGCTGAACTGAATGAAAAAGATACAATTACGTGCACGTTTCTCATGTGTGATGCTGTAGGTAATAAAGCGCATGGCGTACCCACATGTTGCTTAACTTGTCAGCTCTACGCATTCAGTTAAATGATAAAGACTAGAGAAACTGGAGGAAGAAACAGGGAGACATGATAGTAAGATGTGCTTTAACAGTACTTAAAAGCTCATACAAACATGCTGCTATGCATGCTTCCTCAGACCTCTGGGCATTTTGGTGAGCATGTGTAAAGGCTAGAGAGTTACGGGTATGTTTTGCAGCATTCATTAGAGTCTCTGACACCTCTCCCAGCACCTCTAGCCATCTCCTTATCTTCCAAGGTTGTACATGTGCCCTTTTTTTTTAATCTCAGGTTTAAAAATGCAGGATTGCTTTCTTTCAAAGGGCCACAGGGAATAAAAGCAAAACAGCAAAACTGCCACACCCATCATCATTTTACATGTTATTATTTCCCATTAATCCTTAACCCAGAGTTAGAAATCAGCAGCGTACATGTCCAAGTTGTCTGTGTAGCACTACAGGTAACAAATTTTCACAGTAAGCAGAGCTATTTGTGTTGTTAGCTAATAATTAAGAATTATTGTTGTTTCTCTGATAATATAATCAGCTCATAATTACTTCTGGTAATGCAGAGCTTTAACACGCTCTGAATAGTGTCTTCTTCAGAACAGGGCACATCAAACTTTACCTTAACCCACATTTTGTAGGTTTGCACAGGTATCAGCCACAATAAACACAATAAACAGTTTTTCTTTGATGAGTATCTGATATTACCTGATGTTTCATATCGGTGGAAATGTGATGCCTATCCTATCTCGTTAAGTTTTATGTGAATTAAAATCAACAGCTTCTCCCAGTCACCCTCTTTTTTTAAGCTTATATTTTCCTCCCCTGATTGTCTGACAACATTTCAGATGCCTGTCACAATGCTTTTCTTCCACGATGATGAAAACACAGAATTACCATAAGCCTTAGATCTCAGTGTGAGCACAACAGCACTCACATCCATGGGAGGCAGCTGTGTATTCTGGTAGCATGACTAATCACAGCTACCTCAGCTGGAGACTGAAAGGATCTCTGATTGGTTGGTAACATGCTTAAACATATCTGGTTAGAGAAACTGGCTGAGAGTTTAAGTCAGAAGACGCAAGCAAGGAGCAGTGGCTCATTTAATTGAGACTCTGAATCTGAGAGGGCGGCTCGCCCAGAGCCACGGGTGGAATTGAGTGTAAGGCCTAACAGGCTAACAAAGTCATGACCCCCGTGGCCTGTTTCTGATTGCAAATGTTGGCTGTGAAAACCGGAAGGCGCTGACTATAAGCAGCACTAGAGTAAGATCCAAAAGGCACAATCAGATCTCTATTCAAAGTGTCTATTTTAGAGAATGACTCAAGGGTGAGAGAAAATCCTCTAATTGCGTCGCTGATGAGGTGAAATCAGCACAGCAAAAACAGGATAATAAATGTGTGACTGTCCATCTTAAAACTCTGGGGTTTATATCATCTTAACTCTGGGGGAGAGGTTTGTTTTGGTGTGGGAATGAATGTGACAGGCTGTTACACGAGTGGCTCTGAGAGGCTCACGGATGGCTGCTTGTACTTGTTGTCATGGCAAACAGGTTGTTTGAGACCCATCCTGAATGCAAGGACGTCTTTTTCCTCTTCCGAGATGTGGAGGACCTGGAGAGGTTGCGGACCAGCCGAGAACTCAGGGCGCACGGCTTGCGGTCAGTCACGGACTCTACATCCCAGCACGTCCACACACCAGCATCTCGAACAACACTGAAAAAACAGCAAATTAAACATAGCATACATACCAAAGGGGAAGACAATATCTTTCACATAAACTCTAATTTACTGCTACTATA